GACACAGAAATCGGAAAAAACATTTTATTGAACGTAAAGTCGGGAAGCATTTTTCTTTCTTTTTTAATCATTTCACCCCAACCAGGCGATAATGTCACTAGGATACATGGGATTACTGGGAATGAAAGAGAATGAGACGACTAGAGAAAGGACAATAAAAGAACAGGATAAAGGAAGACAGAAGATAGAGTTGCATTCAAATTTTTGTTAGTAATAAATTAATGAATTACTACCCATTAATAAAATTGAAAAAAAATGTTGAAAGTCTCGTATGTGAAAACCTCGTAATAATATTAAGGATAAAATAAAATAGCCTGTTTTTTGTATGGCAAATGTAATTTAGTATTTGATAAATTTAATAGCAGTTGTGCTAAAGTAGTTTAATGGATATCAACACTGGAACTTGAATTGGCAAGCTCATGATTTGGGCTAGTCTATTGCGTCCGATTTCGTACTAATAGCCTTGGTAAAGGCATGAACCTATCTTTTCTCCCCACAGCTATTGGTTAAACATCAGGATAAACCGGGTTCGCTTGTCTAAGAGAAATAAATAATCTGAATACAAACGATGGACAGGGTAACGGGAAACTACTCCACCATCTTTCCAAAAATGCATGGAAATTTACAAATAATAAAGAATTCTGTGAAGAATTGTAATCGTCTACGCTATTTTTAATTTAGCATTAATATAAGATTTTATTGGAGATAAATTTGTAGTTTCCTGTTGTAATTAAATAATAAACTGATACCTGGAATTACTATTGAAGCATTAAAAAACTATCTGCCTTTGACTTAGCGATGATATATGTGCATGTCAAAAGTTAAGAAGTGTATCAAAGGACAGGACAGTCTCGCGATATGCGCGAAAGACAAGCCGCAAATGATGCCCTGAAATAAATAACCAAGTAATTGTGTTATGTTCTTTGAATATCGGTGCCATAGTATAACAGGAAATATATGCTGAAAGAAGCATATGCGAAAATCACTTTTAAATGATTTTACCGTGATTTTTGCCATTTCGATAAATACATAAGTTTTCGTTTTAACATAAACCGACAATTTCCGGTCATAAATGTGTACTTCCTTTGACTGTTTATTTTTTCTAAATAGTTGAAACTGAGTACGCAATTATTGTTGAATAATAGTTTCACAGACTATTATTTTTAGAGCAAATGTATCGCTCCGACTTCCTGGGGTTGACTTTTGCGGTCAGATGGAAGACAAAACAAGAAAGTCGATTTTGATTGGCTGAGTCAAGGTAAGAATGTTAGCCAAATAAAAGGTTTTCAGGGAGTTGTTTCTTAAGCGTCCAACAATGTAGACGTGTTTCCTTTCGTGTCTGGAACTACTCCCCAATTTGAGTGAGAGAGCAACCCCACTGGATTGTTAGAAGATATATACGTCGACGTTAATAAACTAGCTATGTTAAAATTCCCTGTGCTGAAATTATTTTATCTTTGGACTCAAAACAACTAGCGATCAGCGGCCACGAGAGAAGAATGCAACATTATTATCGAATCAAGACCGTCGACCAAGAAAGCACGTGAGAGAAGATATACAATATTATCATGATTGACGCCCACGTCGACTACGTAAAAATAGGTGTCCGCGCTCGCAATGTTGTTAGTGCAACAAACTTTTTTCAGTGGTGCAGCTGTTGTCACTTTCCTCATTGTCGAAAACGTCCTTTATTGGACTTATCATTTCTGTTGGTGCTTGAAAGAAGAGGCGACTTGCTGTTCTTTGGTCTGTTCCTTTCAATTTCCTTACAGTGTACCACTGTCTAATTTAATAATACTGTCTTACAGACGGTATGATCCAGAAGGATAAACGAGAAAATCTCGTACTACAGTCGCTTAGAGTTTTCTGCAAGAAATCGGTCAGCCTGTTTTCTTTTAATGACAACATTTCTAATAGTAGCAGCACGCAAAGCATGCAAAAATCAAAGTCTCCAGAGTTCAAATTTACTCCTCAACCCGCAACTCCTTCCTTCGCAAACGTGATACGAGAGTCGATCGAAATATCTCTGGATATAACAATATATATCTTATTATTACGCGGGAAAAGGGGTGGCTATAATCAGTCCTAGTGGTGTATATTCAAATTTTGATAATTCTTATATTGGAATTAGCTTCTTTTTTTTTCAAATTTATTAGTTATGGATCTTGTAGGTAATACACTGAAAACTAAAAAAAATATATCAAAGATGTAATTAAAGTAAAACAACGAACTCTACGTCAGAAGCAGAAATCTAACAAAGGAAGACAATGCTATTCATTAATACACTAGGGAAACGAAACATCCCGACTTGAAATTGCACTTAATGCACTGCTATAGCTAATTTATTAATGACAACAATTCAAGCAGTAGAAGCACAAAACGGATGCAGGAATGAACACAGAAGTTTCAAGATTCCCAATCGAATCCTCGACACTCATATTCCGTCCTTCTTTTCGTGGTATTTCATTTTTGAATGGCGGCATGAATACCTGTCTCGCAGAGGTTTCTTGATTGTCTTTCTTACACCTGTGTAATTTGCCTTATAAACTACATCACTATTGGAGAACTCTTGTCTTCTAAATGGTGATTTTCTAAGCGTAGCTTAGATGTGGCACAAAGCCAAAAGTACGTGGTACCGACTGAGAATTGAACTCACTATTCAGTCGTAATTGTTCTAGCGAGACAAGCTTGCTAATAATTACACCACGTCAAGGTGACCCTTGTCTTCTAAATTGGTCCAAACAAATGAAACCACTCTCTGCTCTTTCATTGTGTATGCTACTATGAATAGTCAAGAAACCGCCTTGAACTGAAAGCCCTTTCATGAATCACCTGAAGGCTTTCTGAAAGTTTTACAAGGGTGATTTTTTTTGTCAGTTGTAACGGAAGCATCAGCCTGTTTGATTGTAGCAGATAACCTGTCATTGCTAGTCCTGTCACAAATTTCCAGTTTGCCCATCTATTTAACCCATAGTTGGGAAGAGAAGAAATTAATTCACAGCTTTCCCAAAGGTATTAGTGTGAAAGTGAATTTAACGGTCTCGGTTGGAATTAGAACTCGGGACGTCGATTTCTCATTCCGGGTCGCTAAATATCTGCACACCCACAATGAATCTCCAAATTCCTATATCAACTCATTTTGAAAGGTCCGTGTTTCTTTTTATCGAATTCCTTTTTTTGGTTTTTGTTTTAGTTGCCGACTTCGGGTACATTACTTATTTGTTGTGCTATGGCAGCTTTTAACGAAATCGTTTTGACTAAATTTTAGCAAACACAATCTAGAAGACCGGATTATCTTTAGAGATATTTGTGATTGAAATATTAATTCAAATATCCGTTACATCTGAAAAGTAGAAACAGATTTTCTCTCTCTCTCTCTCTCTCTCTCTCTCTCTCTCTCTCTCTCTCTCTGAATATATATATATATATATATATATGAAAAAAATGACAAGTAATTACAATTACTAGTTTTCCTATTGTCATTTTTATTCATAAATATTGTCTTCTCTACTGGTTAAATCGGAGAAATTTTTATATATATATATATATATATATATATATATATATATATATATATATATATATATATATATATATATTAAGGCAAATATAAGGGTTTTATTTTGTAACAAGTATATATACTTATCCCAAACTAAGATATATTTTTTCATATATATATATATATATATATATATATATATATATATATGAAAAATATTTTATCTTTTTTTATATATATATATGAAAAATATTTTATCTTTTTCATATATATATATATATATATATATATATATATATGAAAAAATATTTTATCTTTTTTATATATATATATATATATATATATATATATATATATGAAAAATATTTTATCTTTTCATATATATATATATATATATATATATATGAAAAATATTTTATCTTTTCATATATATATATATATATATATGAAAAATATTTTATCTTTTTTATATATATATATATATATATATATATATATATATATATATATATAAAAAAGATAAAAGGAAAACTTATCTTAGTTTGGGATAAGTATATATACTTGTTACAAAATAAAACCCTTACATTTGCCTTAATATAGTCTCTCAAAGGACGAAACGCCCTGTCACAAAATAAAATGCTTACATTTTCCTTGATGACGTCCCTCAGAGGACGAAACGTGTCGGCTAAGATAAGTTTTTCTTTTGTTCTTTTTCATATCGTCCTTTTACAGATATACTCTATCAGAAACTTTTACACATACACACACAAAGACCCCACACACATATACATATACATGCACACACACATATATGTGTGTGTGTGTGTGTGTGTGTGTGTGTGTGTGTGTGTGTGTGTGTGTGTGTGTGTAGACCTGTCGTTCTGGTTTTTCGACATATGAGATATTTCGTTCTTTTGTTAACAACGCTAACACTAATATACTGTAATCTAGAATATTCGACAGGTGGCGTTGTTTATAGAATCCTGTCAATAACTTTCTATCTCATAGATTTCGAAACGATAATGTCTACCGTATTTCCCTTTGTTATTTATATTCAGAACGTTGCTCTGAATTATGTTTCGCAATGCACGACATGTTTACAGTGTTACCGGTTTGGACCTAGTTTCTTTGGCACTGAATTAACATAATAATCGTCACAAGTAACTACATTTCCAGACAAAACAAATGAAACACTGCCCAGTACAAAGAACGGGAACTTTCTTCCGCATGGACTTGTTGTAAGAATGTTGATATTTACAAAGAACCGTAGATAAATTCGACGCATTGTTTAACATTCCAGGCTTTCAAACGCGTTATCTTCAACGGTAACCTAAAGGTTTATCAAGTCTGGCATTAGATTGATGATGATTTGTCTTCCAATTTTTATTAAAACTGGAAAATAATAACTGAACTATCGATTTAAAAATTAGTCTTCAAGAAAGAAAAGGCGAGAACAAATTCTTTTCTTTTTCTTCTTCTATTCCACCTCTTTCTCCTTTAGCTCCTTCTATTTCTTTTCTTCTTCTTCTTCTTCTTCTTCTTCTTCTTCTTCTTCTTCTTCTTCTTCTTCTTCTTCTTCACATTCTCCTCCTTTTTATTTTCCTCTTCTCCGTATCTTATTGTCTTCCTCCTCCTCTTTCACACTTTTCTTCTTCTTCTTCTTCTTCTTCTTCTTCTTCTTCTTCTTCTTCTTGTCCTCCATCTCCTTCACCATCTATATTAGCTCTTCCTATTTATTATTCTTCTTTCTCCTTTTCATCTTCTTCTTCACTTTTCCTCCTTTCCTTTTCTTCTTTTTCTTCCTCTTGTATCCTTCCTCTTTTTCTTCTAATTGTTCTATTCTTCTTCTTCTTCTTCTTCTTCTTCTTCTTCTTCTTCTTCTTCTTCTTCATCAGGGTGTAGGTTTTCCAGATTGCTTTACAACTCGTGAACTGGACATTTGAACGCGCCATCTTGGTAAAGTTAAAAATGGCTTTCATCAAAGGAGTCGTCGTCTTTAAATGTAAGCGAAAACGTCATAAGTAATTAACTCAAAATGTAATAGCCTAATATCACAAACCTGGCTGCAGCAGTTCTTACGACAAAGAAGAAAGCTACCGTCAAACACGATTACATATAAAAGGCTTAATCTGTGAAGAAACAATTTACAAGTTTACAAACGTTGGAGGTTTGTTAAGCAAGAAAATTGTAAAAAAAATATCTTTTGGGATGGGTATGTGGTTCTATAGAAAAATTCTGAGGATACCTTAGACCGAATATGTTAGAAACGACGTGGTTTTAGAGAAAATAGAAATAAAAAAGAAACTTATAGTTAACATCAGGAAGAGACAGATGAAATTTCTGAGACACGTAATGAGGATGAAGGGCTTAGAAAATCTGATACTCACAGGACAGATTAAGGGAAAGAGGAACGGATGAAAGCAGCGCCTAACATACCTGATGGGCTTCAGTAAATGGATATTAGAACATAGTTTGGGAGAAATAAAGAAAGTCAAAACGATGTAGAGGACCATGATCGCCTACGTCCTGAAGGGGAACGGCAAATAAAAGAAGAATGTAGGCTTCATTCTCTGTTATCCTTTATCACTCTGTACGTGACTTCATTTGCTGTATTAAAAGTTAATCCTGCCACTAAAAGTGACTCTGATCCCTGAACAGTAGTGTGTTTGAATTTCATAGTTGTGATGTTATATCCTGCTATGGTAGCATAAAACAACTTTGAGTTAAATTAACAATAAGATTACTGCAATTGAGAGGCCTTGAAAAAGAATGCACTGGAAAAGGAAGTAATATCAATAATGCAGAGTGCTAAAGGTTAATGGCAAAAGTACTAGTTTGAGGGTGAACTTAAACCCCAAGAGAACAATGCTATCTTTATGCTAGGTGTGGGGAGGGGCAAATCAAAAAATATGATGCTGCATCAGTCCACCACACTTAATAATGCTAAACTAAAATATACGCTATAAAAGTTGGTCTCAAATAATACATATCAGAGTCATAATCTGCACGTGATTCCTTTATAATCAACAGTAAATTCTTAGCCATGTTCCAACGACTGTTCGTTATTCTAATGACATTTATTCCATTGATGGTACTCGTAAGTGTAATGGTATCATTAGTTGTTTCCTTATGAGGAAACATTCGGCATTCATTGAAAGAGTAACCAGTACTACTGTCGGTTGACATTTCTCAAATCTTTCTGTTGAAACATTTTTTCAGGATAAGTTCAGTAATTGTTATAGCTCTTTCCCCCATTGAAGGAGGTTCCCTTTCTAACCTTTTGTTTGAAGTTGAATGGAGTATTATGTCTTTATATTCTCCTTATATATGCTATCCATTTTAGAAAAAACATGGTTATCTGGTTTCTGTGATTTGGTTCAGTTTTTTTTCTGTAGTGCCAGCCTACTAGCCCCTCCTTGCTCGAACCCATTTTTAATCATTAATATGAGAAAGCGGTTGTATACGACTGACAGATTAGATATGTCTGAACGAGTCTGCTAAGTTTATTTTCATAGTCGAAATGCAAACAAAGCAATTAACGGAATTTATTTTTGTCTGTGTTATATACTGTACCTAATGGGTATATGTCAATCCTCATAAATACGTTGGACGCTATTGTAAGTGGAAGTATTATGCTGTATAAGTAGTTCACCAATAGCAGTGGTTTACCTACTTCACGCCGCTGGCGAGTATTATATTTTGTTGATGTTATAAAGATTACCATTTCATTTTCAACCTCCGTTTTGGTTATTCCTCATCCAGTAACCTTTCATAGTTTACAACCAACAGCCCGGCATTATTTATTTTTACTAGATACGGAGTATATATCCCTGCTTTTTCAGCAATAAAACTTCATCCAATAAATAACTCGAGAGCCACTCTTGGTAAATACTTACTGTTAAAAAGGTAATGAAAGATTGCTCTTTTCAATATTGATGAAGTTTTCCTACGTAATCTTTTATTTGAAGGAGTGGAGGGCTATAGATATTGCGGAACGGGTGTGCTGATGACGTAGTTATTCATAGTTGAATCAAAATCCTCAACCAATTGTTCCAAGAAATACAACTCAAATAAACCTTCCAAAAACAGATAATTGGCTTATATTATGGAAATGAAAATGATAGTTTGAAGACAATTTTCTCTTGTTTTTTTTTTGAGAGTTGGAAAATTGTGTGTCTATAAATTAATTGGCTTGAAAGCTACTAAAACATGATAACAAGTTTCGATTCGAAACGAAAATGATAGATCAAATACGGAATATTGCCGCCATATCAGAGCTAGATTGAGAGGCTTCACTTTCCAGCCTTGATAGGGTTCGAAATCATTTAACCCGACTTATTTTCCGCTCTTCCTACTCTTTTCCTCGGTTGCAACGTGGCAAGAGTGCTGCTACTTTATTGCTACTTCTATGGCAAAGGTTCAGATGAGCTCCATACTTTAGATCCACCAGTTCAGACATTTACAAGCCACAGCCACTGAGTCAACTCACCCTCAATTGCAGCGTGTTACAAATGTAAAAAAAAGTCGTCAATAACTGCTACTATGTGGAAAGGTCTCTAGCGTGAGTGCTTCCTTGAACAGTTCAATCTTGACCTATTCAAATCAAATTCCAATCTTGACCTAATCAGGCATGATCTAGTCAAATCAAATTCTTATCTTGACCTATTCAAATCAAATTCCAATCATGACCTATTCAATTTTGACCTATTAAAATCAAATTCCAATCTTGACCTATTCAGTCTTGACCTATTCAAATCAAATTCCAATCTTGACCTATTCAACCCAAATTCTAATCTTGACCTATTCAGTCTTGACTTATTCAAATCAAATTCCAATCTTGACCTATTCAAATCAAATTCCAATCATCATATTTCCATCTTGTCCTCATAATATTATTTTCCTATTGCATTCTTTTCAGTTCATATCAAGCACCTCATTCAACATCACTATCTTGACTGTAACACTCTACCTTAAGTGGCTCTGTCTCTTTTATTTAGATAAAATATAGCATAAAACAGTTAATTTTAGAGGTAAAAATCCTAAATGTAACCAATGCAGTTTAAAAAAAAATTATTTCTGCGATTTTTTACGGGTAATATACTACAGTTCTATAAATAGGATTTAGATTGATATTAAGCTTAAAACTCGCTTTGACGTCTTTTACATATCCTTATAAATTTCACTTCCTACCACCTTCTCTTCTGTTCATACCACACACCACATTCAGCATTACCATTCTGAATGGAGCTCTATACTCTGAGCAGCTTTCGGTTCTTGTAGTGTGTGAAATCGACTGGCATTAAGCTTAAAGTCCGCCTTTGGCGACCTTTATGCGAGTGTAAATTAAGTCATATTTTTCATTAGGTGACTATTGTCATAAAATACTTGTCTGAAGTTTAAGAATCTTTAACGAAAGTTCTTCAATTAATTATCATAAAAGCGGGCGCTACTGCTTGTGCTATTCATAGCAACTAGAAAACTTGAATCGAGTATGATAAAATAAATTTCATCAATAAATCGACGGCTTCTGAAAGAGCCTGTGAAACCTGTTTCATTAACATTATAATGTATTTTGACAGAAAGAAGACTTGGAAAATATGATACTCACAGGACAGATTGAAAGCAAGAGGAATAGAGGAAAACAACATAGAACCTACCTAGGGAGCTTAACTAAATGGATGGCAGAACAAGATTTAGACGAGATAACAAAGACAAAAATTTGCTAAGAGCTACAACGGACAGGAAATTGTGGAGAGCCATGATCGGCTATGTTCTGAAGGGACATGGCATATTAGAAGTAGCAGTAGGTTTTCCATATATTAAGGCATAGACAATGTCTGTCTGCAATTTGATATGGAAATTATTAATTGAAAATTTATTTGTAGCATTATTTAAATGTGGACTATTGTCATTATTTTTGTCGTTATTGTCACAATACTTTGGTTGTTGTGCCCTCTGACCTTCATCAGGTGCTTGCTGATCTGGCTAACCTTCAGGGAATTTTGGATAGAACACGTGAACAATGATATTTTTTAAAGAAAATGGAAACAAAAAGGATACTTATACTTATCAGGAAGAGATGGTTGAAATTTCTCGGGTACATAATGAGAAAAGAAGGTTTGGAAAATTTGATACTCCCAGGATAATTTGAAAGCAAGAGAGATAGGGGAAAACAACATATAACCTACCTAGTGAGCTTGAGTAAATGGATGGTGGATCAAGTTTTAGGAGAGATAAGAAAAACATAAAATTTATTAAGAACTACAAATATCAGGACATTTTGGAGAGCCTACGTCCTGAAGGCACACGAAAAATAAAATATAAGAAATGATTTTGAGTTGGAGAAATTTAATTTGAGCATGTTGATTTCGATTTAAACTCATTTAAAAATTAATTCTTTGAACAAATCTCTATCTATAAAAGGCAGGATGTGTGTGTGTGTGTGTAACGAATACGCGGCCGCAATTTTCGACGGATTTACACCAAAATTTACATGCACATGCTCCAAGTTAGCGGAAAGGCCAAGACTGACGTTGCATTTCCCAACTCCCATCGATAGTGGAAATAATCGAGTTTTTCATGCTTCTACGGCAGTTTTCATGTAGTTTGCGGCCATTTTCTACTGGCCAGAGTAAGAGCCTATAGCTGGCTGCCACGAATAAGTAGGAAGATTCTATTGGCCAGCGTGAGAGCCAACAGCTGACTGACACGAATGTTAACTACCATGCTAGCATGCAAAAAAATCGATAGCTGCATTCGTCATAAGTGGGAAAAATTTAAATCTGCATGGCACTTTACTCCAATTGGCTCATTCGCTTGCTTAAACTCAACGTTGATTCTGATTCCGCTTAACTGGGTTGGGTGTGAAAAAGGATTTGTTGTTAACATTCTTTTTTCATTCG